AGGAATGCCACTGGGGATCCCAAGCTCCTAGTTCCTCTCAGGTGGGTTAGGTGTCAGAGTGCTCAAACCAGATTGTTTCTGAGCATGCGCAAAAGCTCCAGGCCCCCTCTACCTGTTAATTGTGGAATAAATAGCAAGGGTGCTACACGTGCACCCAATTTACGGTGCCACAGAATGGCAAATTAGCCATTAAAATATTTCATGTATAATGTAGAACATTTTTATGGTTGCTTTGTATACCATTTAAATTTAACATGGAGCTGGTGCCGACAATCATTAAAATGTAAAGTCCCTTGAGGGGGGAAGCCCTTTGGTTCCCCTTGCTAGGAGCTTCTGATCACACAGGGACTGCACTGGGGACTTGAACTGGCCCCAGTTTGATCTGGGGTCAGGGCTGACAATCAGCTGATTGTTGGCTCCATCCTGACAATCAGTTGTTTGTCAGCCTTGGCCCCCCACTGATGATCTGAGTCCCCAGTGACATCCTGAGGCTGGATCCAACACCCCCAGCCCAACCTGCCAGTGAAGGAGGAGCCTGGGATTATAATTATGATCCCAGGCTCCCCCTGCACTGACAAGTAAAAATGATGCATTTTGGATCTGATCCCTGGTCGCAAAAATGTGCCTTCCTCCGAAGCAGGAGGCACGATTTTTTGGGACCAGGGATCAGAGCCCACTGCTCCATTAAATAAACATGTGCCAGGGGTCCAAGTGTTAGCGTCTGGGGAATAGTGCAGCCCAAAATTTGGCACATAATGGTGGCTGTTGGAGCTGAGCCAATCTGGATTGTTCTTGGAATTTAGATATCCAAATGATGCATAACTCCTGCTTAGATGTTACAAGACTAATCAGAACCTGTCCAAAGTGAGCCCTAATAATGCACAGTGTCATACTACTATCACAGAATGGAAATACTGAATATAAAAAATAATTAATCTTTGTTTCTCTTATCAAAGAATTGTAAAATATATGTACAGAATAAAACTTCTCTCTTTGGGATTATTTATATTTTAGATTTATCTCATACATTCCATGTACTTCCACAGCAGGCACTGGTTGGGAGGAGGGGTATGTTCAGTGCTGAAGATTAGCTGTTGTGCTCCATTAATGTTTATGGGCTTCTCTGTGTGGTCTTTGATTTCTGCTGGAGGAGGATGTGGCCTGGGAATGGTGTTGAAAAATGTGTATACAGTCTCCTGGGGAGAAGGGAAAACTTCTCAGTCTTCAAGTTCAAATCTGCAGACCAGAAAACAAATGGTGTTGATGGACTCTAAGGATCAGTGGTCAGGATAGGAGGTTTCAAAGACAAGAATGTTAGTCGTTGGTTAAGTGCTCCAACAGGACTATATTGTTTCTAAGTGTCTCAGGGAGTGGTGTGATTGTAACTGAAATTAGTTTGGATTGCTGTTGGATTCAGCAGCATATCATTTTAATGCATCTTAGTTATATTAAATTACAGGACACATTTACTGGATCTGAGTTTCTTCATAAGTGAACTGAACTGGATGCACAATATGAACAACACAAGTACTGAGCATCAATATGTGTCTGCAGCATGTAACAAAAGCCAACCTTCATTCCCCGCAGGGTTGGAACCAAAACTTCAAAGGGATGTTTTGGTTGTTCTCATGGTTTTGTTAGCCCTTTTTACAGTTCTTGGAAATGCTTTGGTTATCCTAGCTTTTGTTGTGGACAAAAATCTGAGAGAGCGGAGTAATTATTTCTTTCTAAATCTTGCTATTTCTGACTTTGCAGTGGGTAAGTTCTTTTTTAATTTTAATGAAGAAATGTGTAATGCATTTTATCAGCATCTGTGGGGGAAAAGACTTATTTTACTATGGAGTGTTGAGTACAGTGTATATTAACTGGTAGATATTGTATATAGTGCTGATACCTTTTTTATTCCCCCTGTTGTCAACAATAGGAATTATTTGTTTTTGAAGAGTAGGTAGGCTATGTAGTTTCAGTGGGGAGGCCACTGTGAAGCCACTAATGAACACCCCTGTAGCTAGCTGCAATCTTTTAAGCCATTCATGTTGCTTTTAAAAATAATTTTGACATAAACACAAATTGAAATTGATTTCTGACCTCCAAAACTATTGAGTTACATAGATTAAACAAGAACATAGAATATTTATCTTTGATAAAAGTGTGATTACATGAGTGCAAATTAGAACATTGGTTTTAAATAAAAATTCACATTTCCAGTATACTAGATACTGTTTTGTTCTAAAATACAACTTTATTTTCAGTACCCAAAATTTATGTATGCCTATTACTTTACACAAGCATAAACAGGAGAGAAGTAATTAATTTCTTATTGATTATTGTGCATCCTCAGGTGCTGCTCTTAGCCATGAGGCAGAAAACCTAGTGCTTTAGTGAGCCCTAGAAATGTACAATGTTATACTGCTATTATTGAATGAACCTGCTATGTGCACAATATAAATAGCATTACTGGCAATTATTTAAATGACAGATATGTCTCATACAAACTGCATTTTTAAATGGGCACTGCTGGGAAAGAGGCATTCTCAGGGTTGTGTCTGACCTGCAGAAGTCCAATTTATGCCTATAACCTTCTGGTCCCAGATTACTGCTTGTGAAGTTTTTGGGCTTGGAATGATGTTGGGAATGATGTACTTAATCTACTGGGAGAGGGCAAGTTTCCAAATGTTCAAGAGCAAACCTGCTAGTCAATACAGTGTCAATAGACTCACAGTAATTATGATCATGGAAGGGGGTGGGGAGTAGAAAGGTGTGGATAAGAGTATGTCATGTGTTCCAACAGGAGTATATTTTTCTTTAGTGTTACAGTGAGATGTGATGAATGAATAGACTCTCTCTTAGTATTCTTCCAGAGAGAAATTTCACCTGGCAGACTAATATGAGGTCAATTTGGTAACGCTAATGCATGCATTGAGTATTTACAAATTGGAAACACATGTAGTCTGAAGACAGTGTCAAAAGGTGTTGCCAACATTATTTATAGTCCAAAACTTAGCTTGATGCTATAAATGTAAATTATATTGCAAACTAATTCTACATGAGAATTATGGAAGAATGGAGGTATTTTAAATAGTGATACCTATTTGGACATCATTAAGAATGTCAAGCACTACATAACATGCACATGTGAAAATGAACAGTCCGTAAAAATCATGCTGATATTTAGTACATAGGAACCCATTCATTGTGTTCATAAGAAAAAAACCCACTTCAGGATGTTAACTGATATCAGGTGCTGATATGACTGTAGTTTTACCAAATATTTGCTTTATGCACAAATTTATTTCTGCAGTCTTGACTATAATTACTGGATTGTATATTTATGATTCCTTTACATAGGTGCATTCTGTATCCCTATGTATATCCATTATGGGCTGACAGGAACATGGAATTTAGGAAGAGGTCCCTGCAAGCTCTGGCTTCTTCTGGACTATCTCATGTGCACAGCTTCATCATTTAATATTGTTCTTATCAGCTATGATCGGTTCCTGTCAGTTACTAAAGCTGTGAGTAGCACATCCATAGTTTGCTCTTCATACCCAGTGAGGATTATACATAATAACAATTTTGCATGTAATAACTGTAATTAACACTGATGTACCTGTTGCCACCCAGAGATCTGAAAGTACTTTGTTTTGACAGAGTTAAAAAATTAATAAGGCCATTACTTTGAGCAGATCCTGTAACACCTTTATTTTGAGCAGGGAGCTGAATTTTGGTAGGTGATTGCTCTGGGGTCAGAGATCTATCTTTTGCTGAAAGAAGTGATAGTTAACTTACCTACAATACAGAGGGATGAAAAGGAGTAAAGGGGGAGACTGGGACAAGGAGCTGGGGGAGGAGGAGAAGTTGGAATTGGGCTGTGGAACTGAGAAATTTACGCATTACTTACACTGGTTCTAAAAAGACGTCTTGGTGCATAACATGGTCAATTAAATTTACTTTCAGATGTCTTACAGGATTCTACAGAGAATGACTTCCAAGACTGTTATTATGATGGTGGAAATGTGGATATTTGCATTCTTACTCTACGGCCCAGCAATCATTGCTTGGGAATATGTGGCTGGCTGCAGCATTGTACCTGATGACAAATGCTATCCTGAATTCATCTACAACTTGTATTTTTCTCTGTGTGCTTCAGTCTTTGAGTTCTTCACACCTTTGATCTCCATTGCCTATTTCCACATCTCTATCTTCCAGAGTATACGAAAGCGGCTGCAAAGTACTACCTGTCTTTCTGAATCTTCAAAGAACAAGAGCCAATCAGGCAGATTTCGGTCTTTATTAAGGGAAAAAATATCGTTTCCTGATTTAGAAACACAAGACAGTCTTTCTATTTCTTCAACAGGACAGATATATTCAGTGACAACTGACTGTTCAGTTGCATCCCAAATCCATTCTATCCATTCTATCACCGCTAAAGAAGTTAACTCTAGATGTTCCAGAAGAAGGGCAAAGTCAAAACTGCAGAGGGAGAAAACAGCTGCAAAGTTGCTTGTTGTAATTGTCTGTGTCTTTGCCATTTGCTGGACACCATATTCATTGCTTATGCTTATTAATGCAGCCTGCAATTGTATACCTGGAGTTTGGTATGAATTATCATTTTGGCTTTTGTGGCTTAATTCTGCTGTGAATCCTGTTCTCTACCCGCTCTGTCATGTTAAATTTCAAAAGGCTTTCAGGAAAATATTATGCCCTGAACATTTTGTAATAATCGGTCCATGTCAATGAACCTCTTCTTAGGGTCCATCAGCACAGTAACTGCAGCTTTAACTAGATAGCTTTGCTGCTGTGAGCAGGGTAGCTGTGGCTGCCTGAAGGTTAAAGTGAGTGGGCTACAAAACACTTCTGAGAGATCTGTTTTGGCATCTGCAGTGTGCTGAGCATCATGCTGCTTCATTTACATTGACATATTCATAAAGAGCTAAACCAAGAGACTTACAGTAAAAGATCCCCTATCTCATTGTAACTAAGCATGGTCATTTCTTGACTAACAAAATATTTGGTCATATATGGCTGGTCATATATTTCTGTATTTTTCAATGTGGGAAATATTTTAGTTTGCCATGAGACTGGTATTTCTCAAGACATGAACTGCCCTTTCCTTTCCTTTCCTTTCCTGTTGATAGCATCATACTAAATTCAAAAGTAGCTTTTGTCTTGTGCAAATCATTCATTTATAACATTTATTCTTGAACATAGAGCAGCATCACTTCCTTGTATTGTTTAGTAAAGGTGTTTATGGGAGAAAGACACTGCATGCTTAGCTGTGGTGGCAGGGCCTTTAGGCTAGAGACAGACAGTACAAGTAAACTGGTTTAAGTGATCAGAAACTGATTTAAACCTGTAACAGAACAGACATTCAGTGCACATAAACCAGTTTCAAAATGGCTCAAACCGGCTTGAGATAAACCTGGTTGAATGTAGTATCAGACTTAACTGATTTGACTCAAATGGTTTATGCAGTGTCTGTCCCAGACCCCTTGCTGGTTTAACTTAAACCAGAGTCCCCTAGCATCCTGGCATGCTCTCTGGGCTGGGCTCTCTGCACCAACTCAGCAGGGCTGGCCCGGCCCCTCTGCTCCCCAGCTGGAGCAGAGACAGGCAGGGGCTGGAGTCTGGCCAGAGAGGGGTTAATTTCTCCCTCCCTTTCCCACTGGCAGGGACCCAAGCTGGGTCTGCCAGTTGCTCTCCCTTTGCTACTGCAGTGGTGGGCCGCCATGGCCTCTGAGGCAGAGGGGGCAGGGAGAGAGGTTATTCACTGCCCCTGGGGGACCAGAGCCAGGTATACCCTCTGCCACTGCCGCACTGGCTCCCCGCTTGGGGAAAGCAGTGGAATAAGCCCTCTGCTGCCCCCTTTGCTGGACATTGGAGGGAGGGGGAATAATCCCCATCCCCAGAGATGACCCGAGCAGGGTGTGGGGCCTGGGACAAATCAGCTTATGCGGGGCCCCACCCCTGGATGCAAGGAAGCTGGTGGAGGATTCAGTGTCAGGGAGGTAGGGGGAGGGTACCGAATGGCTGGCCAGCTGTGAAGCCGGCAGCAGCATGAAGTTGCTGCAGCTGCTCCACCTGGCTCTGTGGGGCCCCCCAAAGCATGTGGTCTAGGGCAGTCACCCCAATTCGCCCCCCCTTCTAGGAACAACCCTGGCCGTCCTTGCCCTCTCCCCTCCCCAAGGGGCCCTGCTAGCTGGCTTCTGGCTGTGCCCCTGCCCGCCCACTGTAGCACTGAGGGGGCAGGCGCCTTGATGGGGGCAGCAGTCCCTGTCATAATGTCAGGGAGTGCGAGCCCCTTCCTAGCAAGGGCCCCCACTGCAGGGTGGGCTGAGCTGTGGCAGACTGCACGCAGCAGCACTGGGGCCCAGAGGGGGCCAGAGCCCTCCAAGCCCCCCACAGCACCGTCGTCCATAGCAGCTTTCCTTGCTCTTCAGCGTGGTTCCCTCTCCCACCAGGAAGGGGTTCATGGTCCAGGAAACCATGACAGGGGTTGCTCCCCTCTCCCTGCTCCAGCGGCTGGGCAGGGGCAGGGATGAGGCCAGACACCGCTGGCAGGGCTCCCGGTAGGGATTGGGGACAGGGAGCAAGGTTATAACCCGCTCTGCCCCTGGGGCACCAACGTGGGGTCTGCCCGCTGTGGCTGCTGCCACTTCTCACTTAGTACTTGAGGCAAGTGGCAGACTAAGCCTTCTCCTGCCCCACTCCCTCTGGTGTTTGGCAGAAACAGGGAGGAGGGAATTAAACCCTTCTCTGGCCAGTTCAGCCCAGACTGACCATGCCCCACCCAGCACAGCTTCCCTGCAGCCGAGGACATGCTCTAGCAGCCCCAGCTCCTGGCCTGAGCAACTACAGGCATGTGCCCACATTTGCTCGGTCCAGAGGGAATGTCTGTACTGTTACAAACCAGTTGAACCTAGGCAGGTTAGACTAACTTGCAAAGGTTGAATCAATTCAGGCTTCAGTTTTTTGAATGTCTGACCCTAGTTTTAAAATATAGAGCATATTTGTACATTTATAATTAATATTTAAAAAACTAGTTCTACAGATACACATTTGCAAAGTTGTGAAAAAATCCCCCAATGGTAGTGATATGTCCTTTAAAAAATTCTATAGAAGCCAAAGTAAGGCCTTCAGTCAATAAATAACATAACATAACATAACATAACATAACATAACATAACATAACATAACAACAGTTTCCAAACACAGTAAACTCTTCCTGGATCAAGCACAGTTCACATGTATGCAAAATCCTGTTCAATTCAATGTGCCAAAAAGCAAGAATTACCACACTTAATGGAAAAAGGGAAAATATGCCATATTCCACCTCATTCTGCCTCCTGCATTTGTACATTATCCATTTATATTACAAGCACTTTGGGAGAGGGACCTGTTTTGTGGTGTGTGTAAATACCTCCACCCTCTTGGGCGCTATGAAACTAATAGGCTTTAGTTGTCCAAGGGATGTACCTCACAATGGACCTGTTTTTGAAATATCAATCTATTAACCCGGGCCTGTGCAACTGGCAACCCTTGGACCACATGTGGCCCATGAAGGGTTAAGTTGTGACCCTGGGTCCTTCCCAGCTACAGCTCAACCTGTTGCTCTGGCTGCAATAGCAACCAGAGTCTTTGGGCTCCTCCTGTCTTGTCCCACTTTTGCTGCCTGCCTGCAACCCATGCAGTGTAGCATAGCTGGGGGAGCTGAGGGTGAGCCTGGGAGTGCACGGTGCAGCACTTGGGGGCTGTAAGTGCACAGTAGGGGAGGGAGGGTGTTCATGTGGTGTGTGGCCTGGGGGATCTGTGATTCACTCTGGTGCAGCCTGCAGGCATGCAGACCACACTGGTGTGGCCCAAAGAGCATTTGGCCCCTAGTTGTTTAGAAATTGAACAGCCTTGTATTTACCAATACTTCAGTTATGAAATTCTGAGATTCAATACCACAGGGCTAATTAGCACCAATTCTTTAGAATTCAAATAATTTCTTCCCTTTCCACTAGTAGTGTAGTATGATGCCATTAATATTATTACAATTCTTTTTAATAGAGTTGTCTTAGAAGTTCCATTTGCTCATGGCTATTGGCCATCCATGGTAAAAAAAAGAGATACTCACTAATAGTTACAGGAAATATCTAAAGCATGGCACGTAATAAAACACAAATACGTCAACTGTGTTTTTTAACCAACATCTTTAATAGCTTTGGTTTTCTGCACAATTTAGCTCTTTCTCCTTTTGAGATTGCTTTTTAAAATCCAATAATAATTAAGGCACATTCATTTCATGCACAAAGAAACCCTTTTGCTGTGGTTTGAAGGACATAACTGTGTTGACTATTCTAGCTATGTTTCTTGCAAATGCTACAGCAATGTATTTAAGAGTTCATAGATTTCATAGATTTCATAGACGTTAGGACTGGAAGGGACCTTGAAGATCATCACATCCAGCACCTGCAGGAAGTCAGCTAACGTCAAAGGATCCAGCAAGATAAGCATTCAAACATTTCTTAAATGAGTCCAGAGTAGGTCCCTGCACCACTTCTGGAGGAAGTCTATTCCAGGCCTTGGGGGCTCGGACAGTAAAGATGTCCAGGCTAAAATGGACTTGGAGGAGTTTATGAAAGTTAGTCCTTGTTATTCCTTGGGGTGCTCTGGTGAACCGATGTTCCCCCAGATCCTGATGCACACCCCTTATGTACTTATAGGCAGCCACCAAGTCCCCACTAAGCCTGTGCTTTTGCAGGCTGAAGAATCCCATGGCTCTCAGCCTCTCTTCAGCCAGTTTAGCTTCTCAAAAAAAGAAGAAAAAAAGGAGGTCAAGAGGTGACTTGATCCATGTACATATTTTCACATGGAGATGGTGCTGTATAGGAAAGGGCTTTTTCCCCTTTATACCTTTACCCAGTAAAAAGCAGAAGGAATTAAGGCCAGACACATTCAGAAGGGAAATAAGGCTTTTTGTAGTGAGGGTGACTAATCTTTGGAACAAACTACCACAGGACATGAAAGATTCCGATTCTTCAGCTGACATCAGATCCAGAGAGGAAAATATGATTTAATCCAGGGCTATCCAACTACCTGGCTGTCACTCTGCCCACTGCTCTTGCAGAAGCAGCAGCTAAGATCTCCAGGCTCCTGTTCCACTACTAGCTTATCCAGCACAGTGGGAATGGACCAGGCTATGTGTATGGTGGAGGAGGGTGCTGGACTGGGTGTTCTGCATGCTTGTCCAGGAAGGGACCCAGGCTGTCTGAACTGCTCCTGGAGTTGCTCCTAACTCTGAGTTAGGGACCTAGCCCAGGTTAGCTCTATCGCATGGACATCGAGGAAAAAGCACCTACCCTCACCTTATATCTAACATATAATAAAATGGTTATTGATTGAGATTTAAATTTCTCGGCCAGATTTGGAACAGGGATCTGGACCCAGGTCTGGCACCACACAATTGTGAGTGCCCTAACTTCAAGGATATATGTTTTCCAAGTTGTTTGCTTAATAGCTCCTGGGCCAGAGAAAGACCAATCATGACTCTAAAGAGTGTTGGTTAGGAAACTCGTCTGGGAGACCCAGAGTCCAGTCCCTACTCCAATGAATATTTATTATACACAGAGTAAAAGAGTTTCTACAGGGGGTAATGGAACAGGCTCATCCCACAAGAGCCCAGTTCTTAGGACACTCACTCAAAAGCAACGATCATTATCCCCACTCCAGTTTAGGCAGATAATGGATTTAAACCT